TTTTTTTTAAGAAATGTTTGCTGAAGAACAGTGCTCTGAACTTAAAAATTCTTCTGGAGTGTTTTCCAAATGCCATTTGTATGTGGATAATGGACCATACTATGAGGTATAATATGCCCCAAAGTGATGCAGACTGTTAACCACTTCAGCTCCAGAAGATTTTACCCCTTTCATGACCAGGCCATTTTTTGCTATTTGGCACTGTGCTACTTTAACTGGCAAGTGCGTGGTCATGCAATGCTGTATACAAATAAAATTCATATCAGTTTTTTTCACACAAATAGAGCTTTCTTTAGGTGATATTTGATGACCACTGGGTTTTTTATTTTTATTATATAAACAAAAACAGACTGAAAACTTTGAAAAAAATCTCAATATTTTCTGTTATAAAACATATCCAATATAAAAATGTAAAAAAAAATCAATAAATTTAAGCCAACATGTATTTTCCTACATGTCTTTGGTAAAGAAAAGAAATCCCAATAAGTGTATGTTATTTAGTCTGTAGGAAAGTTACATACTATGGTATATATTTGAAAATTGATCAATTATAATGTACTGATGAATGATCTCATTTTGATGCCCTTAAAACAACAGGACAATACAAGTGCGGGAGCAAATGACCCCTTTTTAGAAAGTAGACAGAGACTCTAAGGTATTTAGTAAGAGACATAGAGAGTTCTTTTTTTTTTTTACGTTTTTGAAGTATTTTTTTTCAAAATTATTTGGAAAATGAAGAAATTAAATAAAATTAGTTTTTTATTCACATTTGTTTATATACGGTCACCAGTGCAGTACATCTTTAATACTTTCATCAGATGTGAATCACAAAATACTTTCATCAGAGTGGTTCAATGTTACCACTGTGATATTCTACTACTACTCTGGGGGGGGGGGGGGGGGGGGGGTTGATCAGGGATCTAAGGGTTTTTTTTACATTTGATTGCTGGTACAATGAAAATCATTGTACCAGCAATGCTTTGAACTGACATGAATGGGTTGAGTTCATGACAGCTGTGAATACTAGTGATCTGTGATTGGCTACAGCTAATCACATGGTACAGGGGGTTGTGATTGGCCCAGGTTCCATGTGACAGTTATGGGTAAATCACAGATCACTAGGAAAGGAAGCAAAAGCTGCTATGAATCATATTGATTCAGAACAGCTTTGCTGACATTGTGAACATGTGATCGCATAGCGATCAAATGATCACTGGGCCCTGAGTACCGCCTTCCGCTTTCCATTTGCACAGCTAACCCCTTCTAACCCCCCCCCCCCCCATGTCTGTACAGGTAAAATCAGCACAGGGCCAATCAGCACTGTCCAAACAGAGTGTCAGGGGTTTTTCATCCTCCCAGAACAGAAAGAAAACACCTGCAATCTTTAACCAGTGCTCAGCTAAAATCACAAGACTGTTCTACCTGCTGACGAGAAAAGGTATTTAGCAGTTTATATTTACTAAAATAGTTGCATTTCCATGTTCTGTGTACTGTGGGAGACCAGATATAGTGAATGCAGGATCCTGGGTTTGGTAACACTTTAAGCAGGTGTGTAATTTCTTTCATAAAAATACGTTGGTTGGTAACAAAACACACATTTGACAAGTATGTGCATATGCTATTTAACCACTTCCCATCCGGCCGCTGTATATAAACGGCCGGATGGTGGCAGTCCAGGGGCGGCTTGCCGTTCATAAATGGCGCCTGCCATTTTGGACTGTGCGCACTCCCTGAGAGTGCGCAGCACTGCGATCTGGTGCCCGCTGTGTCCTCCAGACACAGTGGAACACCGATTGTCGTACGGGACCTCTATGTGTGAGGTCCCGATCATGTGATCACTGATTGGCCAATCAGTGATCACATGCAGAGTAGTAAGCAAGATGTCATATGAGAAGCTGTGATCAATCATAGCTCACACAGTATTTCTCAATGGCTGCAAGAATGCAGCCAGAGAAAAGGAGAAATGATTGCTTTACTGTACTGCTAGGGTGACAGTATGTAAAAAAAAACAACAACCCATAAATAATAATATAAAAAAATAAAATCAAAAAATATAAAAACATTTTTTTTTAAATTATAATTTTGGATTATAAACTAATTTGGGTTATTTATTTTTACTAAAAAGATAACTGAATAACATTTGGCCAAGATTTATGATGAAATATTATTTGTTTGCAAAATTTTATAAGAAAAACACTTTTTTTTCAAAATGTTTGGACTTTTTCAGTTATATAGCAAATAAAATAAAAATCCCAGTGGTGAATAAATACCACCAAAATAAAGCTTTATCTGTCTCAAACAAATTCTAAAAAATTCATATGGCTGCAGTGTTGCATGACCGCTCAATTGTCATTCAAAGTGTGATAGTGCTCAAAGCTGGAAATTGACCTGGACAGGAAGGCAGTAAAAGTGTTCAGACTTGAAGTGGTTAATTACTTTTCATCTCTAAGCTGCATCATTTTTTGTGAAATCAAATTATATTATAATTAATCTAGACTTTACATTTTTAGTGAACTTATAAATCTTCTCTTGCTATTTTTTGTGCATTTCTTCACATTTTTAAACTTTTTGCTATTGTGTTGTTCAGTTGCTGACTTATTGTATTTTTATTTCAGAGATGTGTAAGCTCAACTTGTAAAAGTGAGGATGTCTGGGCTGGCTTATGCAGTGCACTGGAAAATTATGTGCAGGCCTGTGCTGAAAAGGGTGTTCTGTTGCATAACTGGCACCAACAAAATTGTAGTAAGTTCTGTGTTTGATATAATATTCACTATAAATAGATAAAAATAAAAAATACACTGAAATATGATTTCCGTTTAATTGATTACGTAACAGTCAAACTTCTATCTGTGGAATTTCAATCCTTTAATTAGGATTTCTGCTATGCAATATGTAGCAATACAACCGGCTTCTGCATCATTTAAATTAATATACACAGTAGGGGCAGACAACCTTAAAAAGCTGGAGATTTACCTGGACAACATGGGAGAAGTTAAAGATCACCGGGCCCAGTGTCAGCTAGTGTCACCTCCTCACACCTAATTTAAAGCTTTAATTGCAGTACTACCATGTCACAATCGCCTGTATTGCACATCAATCATGGGTTTAAATCAGGTGTTGAAAATTCAACATATCGCCTCCTTGCCACCTGTCAAACACACTTGGATCGCTTTGCAGAGGAGCAGTTGTGTGAATGAGCTCTTAGTTGCATCCAGCAGTGGCACTCTTAGGACTTGTTCACATGAAAAGTTGGGGGGAGGGGGGTAAAATCCTGTAGTTGAGTCATGGTTTTACTGCCCCCAATCCCTACCCCCTTTAGCTGCTGAGGTAGCAGCCAAACGTATTTGCATCCCACAGCAGGAATTACACCCCCTGTTGCTTTTGGTAGGTGCTACCGCCTGTCAGTCGAGACCCATTCAAGTAAATGACCACTCGACCCACAACTGCATGCTTTTGCAGGGTCCAAGAGGTTAAAGCAGGTGGTGAGAAAGCAACACACTGCTGCCTGTTTAACCCCTTGTTTGCCTTGTTTGCACAAGGTTGCAGGGCACTTGCAGAGTGGCCTCATTCACTTGAATGGGTCATGTTTGGCAGGTGCTATACCCACCAACCATGACAGGAAGTAGGAGTCAGCACTAGAGAGGAGACGTCAACTAATGCAGCTCTTGCTCTCTATTACAGCTCAAACTTTACAAGTAGTCGCTCTGGATTGCACTCCGATGCTCTGGGATGGCGGGTCAGCAAGCCCTGACCGTGATCTACTAGTCACCTGACTGAGATCTACTGGTAGATCATGATGTACTGGTTGCTGACCCCTGATATACAGTATATATTTACTGTTCATTTTACAATTTGCAATCATCCTATGGCAAATGTGCCAGATGCTTTTCTAACGTTAACCTCGTGAGGACCTCTGTGTTGTGGGTACCCCTAAGCTCTGCACAGCCAGGCAACAGGTATTTTTTCACACAGACTTGCATCCAAAAGACAGTAACCAGTCTGTGGGCTTGATTTTGTTATTTTATTAGGGGAACGTTTGGCTTGAATCAATGAAGGGGGGCAACTTCCTTGTTATATACAAAGACAAATCCTAGACTGTTCTTTTCCATGAAAGCCGTCAGTCTTTGTGAATCAGTAGCAACAACCATTTATGGGCGAGGAACGAGCAGCCTTACAAAAATCAGCTTAGCTTCTTGTAAATACATGCAGAGATATCTTCTCTCCCCCTGTAGAACTGCTCCTAGCTCCACAGCCTGCAGATACTAGCAGCCCTCCTGGCTGCTCTTAGGATCTCCCAGGACAAGGATAAAGGATTGAGCCCTTTGAAAGCTTGCTACATGTGGCAGTCTTTCTCCTTGTGGATCTCAAGGAGTATTCATTCTGTCCTCTATGCTTCCTACTGCTCCAGGTCTCAATCCCATTCACGCCACACAGCTGAATGTATCCTCCTGAGCCAGACTGAGCCCAGCCTGGAGGCTGGCCCCCCTAGACTTAGGGGACCCCTCCCAGGCACCAACAGTCTCCTCAGCACTCCATCTTCCACCTGACTTCTCTGTCAGCCTGAATTTTCCATATTTATGGGCCAGTCCACCACTCTACCATGGCCTCCAAACCTGGTAGTGGTCAGACTCCTATAAACATGCTGATTAGGTGTCCACCCCTTCCTGCTTACTGACTTCTGGAAGGTTCTATGGTTCTCCAGAGTCAGGAGGAAGCAATAGAGCCACAACCTGTTAAGCCATCCAGCTAACCTGCATTAACTGACTTCAATCATAGACTCAAACAGTTACTATGAGTCATACATAATGCTTTTACCTGCAATACAATACTATTCTAGTAGCACACTAGAGGGTGCTACACATGTAGATCAACACCCAAATTTCAAAGTATGTCCTCAGTGCCTTGTAGCACAACATAGATGGATATCTTAAACATAGTTGAATAAATTCTCAAAAATGTTTGAGTCACATTATGTGTCGTCATGAACTCCAGGCATAAAAAAAAACATTTGTAAAAAATGGGTTGTTCTCAGGAACTCAGTGAATTCAAGAGTGGTACTGTGATAGATTGCCACCTGTGCAATAAGTCCATCTGTGAAAGCTCCTTGCTACTAAATATTACATGGTCAACTGTTAGTGGTATTATAACAAAGTGGAAGCAACTGGGAACAACAGAAACTCAGCCATGAAGTGGTAGGCCACATAAAATGACAGAGGGGGGGTTAGCGCATGCTGAAGCGCACAATGCGCAGAAGTTGCCAACTGTCTGCAGAGTCAATAGCTAAAGACCTCCAAACTTCATGTGGCCTTCAGATTAGCATAACAACAGTGGATAGAAAGCTTCATGGAATGGGTTTCCATGGCCGAGGAGCTTCATCCAAGCCTTATATGACCAAGTGCAATGCAAAACATCGGATGCAATGGTGTAAAGCACACCGCCACTGGACTCTAGAGCAGTGGAGACGTGTTCTCTGGAGTTACCAATCATGCTTCACTATCTGGCTATCCAATGGACATGTCTGGGTTTGGCGGTTGCCAGGAGAGTGGTACTTGCCTAACTGCATTGTGCAGAGTGTAGCATTTGGTGGAGGGGGGATTATGGTGTGGGGTCTTTTTCAGGAGTTGGGCATGGCCCCTTAGTTCCAGTGAAGGGAACTCTTCAGGCATCAGCATACCAAGACATTTTGGACAATTTCTTGCTCCCAACTTTGTGGGAACAGTTTGGGGATGGCCCCTTCCTGTTCCAATATGACTGCGCAACAGTGCACAAAGCAAGGTCCATAAAGACATGGATGAGCGAGTTTGGGGTGGAGGAACATGACTGGTCTGAGCTCAACCTGATAGAACACCTTTGGAATTAATTAGAGCAGAGACTGCAAGCCGGGCCTTCTTGTCTGATATCAGTGCCTGACCTCACAAATGCACTTCTGAAAGAAAAGTCAAACATTCCCATAGATGCACTCCTAAACCTTGCGGACAGCCTTCCCAAAAGTGTTGAAACTGCAAAGGGTGGGCCAACTCAATATTGAACTCTATGGACTAAGACTGGGATACTATTAAAGTTCATGTGTGTGTAAAGGCAGGCGCCCCAACACTTTTGGCAATATAGTGTACTATTCAATAGCCACAAAGGATAGAAATATAGTTTTTTGTAACAGTAGCAGTGACATCATCACTGTGCTGTATGTGGCCTGTACAGAGAGCAGAGCTGTGGGAGGGACCCAGCCAGCCCACACACTAAAAGTTGCTTGCAGAAAACCACAGGAGGGTGAATACAAGACCAACTGCTCTGTACATGGAGAGACTGCAGCATTGACTGGTCTTTATTACAGAAAGCTTCTGGGGTGAGGTAAAGTTTCATACTGACTTACTGCACAAGTCTAAAAGAAATACACACAGCATCAGGGGCAGACTGACCATTCGGACACTCGGGCACTGCCCGAGGGCCCAGGGTCAGTAGAAGGCCCCATGAGATGCCTCTGGTGCCTTTCATATGCTTTTTTGGGAGTGGTTTGAGTGTGGGCAAAGACATGATCCCCTATTGTCCGGGGGCCCCATGAGTTGGCAGTCCGCTCCTGCACAGCATACCATGATTCATGTAAGAATACACATGACTCTTATATTTAGACAATATTTGATTATCCTGGAGTTCAACTTTAAGGGCCAGTTCACGCTGCAAAAATGCACTCCAGATGCATTCCGGATACGTTTTTGCTTACAGTTCGCACCACACTCCGTTCAGCTGCAGTTTTGATGTTCCAGTAGTTCTGTGCAGAAAAAATGCAGCATGTTCTACCTTTTTTTTCTGCACCAGAAACTAACTGGAACTGACTGCACTGGTGTGAACTAGGGTCATTGGAATATTATTATTATATAGGATTTATATAGCGCCAACAGTTTGTGCAGCGCTTTACAAAATGAAGGTATACATTATAGTTACATTACAATTTGGTACAAGAGGAAACAGAGGGCCCTGTTCGTTGAGCATATACATGGAAAACAGTGTGCACGCGTTTTTGATGCAGAAAAAAGTGTACTGGACTGCATCTAGTGTGAACTAGCCCTTAAGCTGACGGTTAGAAAAAAAAATGTTCTTTGTTTACAGCGTTAGTCACATCACATTCCTGTAATGAAGTATGTCCCAATGTGCAGGCTGCTGGATTCTGTAAAAACGTCATTGCAGGGCTGCCCTATCCTCTTCCTGCTGCTGAACTTCTGGCATGGTGTGGGTTAACAGCTTCTCTTCTCCAGACTCAGCTGTTCTAAAGATGATCTGAGGGAAACACACCCCCTCCTGCTCTTTCCTCCATTGAGAAAAAAATCTTTCATTGACTATGCTGCATGTAATGTGGTCTGTGATTGTGGAAGGGTCTCATGAGTCACAGGATTCTCTCCCCCATTCATAGATTGTGCTACAAGAGGTAATCAGTGAAAGAACAACTTCCTAGTATGTACGGTGTTTGATATATGTGTTCATTATAATGGATAATATTAGAATACCCAGAAAATGCTTGGGTGCTGGCTATTAATCAGAGGCTGTCTGTAAACAATACTCTACTCCATAATACCATTATTATCTTAACCACTTCAAGTCGGGACACTTTCACCCCCTTCCAGTCCAGGCCATTTTGCAGCTTTTGGGCAACACTGTACCCAAATGACATTTTTGGATTTTTTTTTGAGACGGATAAAACTTTCTTCTACTGGTATTTATTCACCACTGGGATTTTTATTTTTTTGCTATATAAAATGAAAAAAGACCAAAACTTTTGAAAAAAAAAGTGTTTTTCTTATAACATTTTGCAAATAAATAACCTTTCTTCATAAATCTTGGCCAAGACGTATTCAGCTACCTTTTTGGTTAAAAAAATAACCCAAATCAATTTATAAAATAAAAATTATGATTTTTAAAAAAAAAATGTTTACATTTTTATTTTATTTTTTTTATATTATTATTTATTTATTTTTACACACCATCACCCTAGCAGTACAGTGTCACTATAGTGATGCTGTGCTATTTGTGGAGGGGTGATGATTTTCTTTTTTACACTGATTGCTTTTACACCCATAAATACATTTGACTTTATTTCTACTGTCTCTTTCACCTCAACAGTATTTGGATGCAGATAAAAAAAACTTGAACTTGATTTTTCCCTCTTCAACCCAAATACTGCATTCTGAAAAAAAGTAATTCATATGTTACTCATATTCCTGCTTAATGTTTGCACTTTTACAGAAAAGGAATGCATGAACAATCAGGTCCTCCGATTTACCTCTATGTCCTGTTTCCCATCTTGCGCTTCATCGCCTCATACTTGTAGTGACCAAGTTGGTGTGGTGGAAATGTGTACATGTGAAAAAGACCAATATTTGAATACTGAAAACGTTTGTGTCCCTAAGGAAGACTGTGATTGCGAACATCATAATGATGTAATACCAGCACACAAAGAGGTTGAAATAGATGGTAACCTATGGTAAGAAGTCTGCTATATAAATGTTGTAAAATCCCCATTCTTTGAATAAATATTTAGAAAATCTGTAATGAGTAGAATTTATACAATTATTTAAGCAAAAATATTATATACAAGTGTAGGTAAAGATAATTGGTAATAACATGCCACATTGTATTTCAGCAAATGCATGGCAGGAATAGTTGTATGCGAATTTAGCAGGAATAAAAAAAAAGGTAAGGATTTGTTTTGTCTCTATCTAATATTTATAAATGTATTTAGTAAAGTGTTTATATTAAAGGATTAAAATCATTACAATTAAAAGGAAAGTACACTGTATCTGAGCACCAAAAACCAAAAATGCTAATTCATTTTTGTTATTTAAAGCAAACTCAGCCACCCATCCAGGTCTCCATGCTTTATTTTTCTGAGAAATCACTTTAAAAAACACCCCCTGGTATTTCTGGCTGCAGCCATCTTGAATAAGGGCAGATGATTCATGTAGCATTTCCTTCCTGGAATCCATTTGCTCTCAACTCAGACATACAGGCAGGAGGGTGTGCTTAGCTCAGCAAACCCCTTCTTCCATCCTGAAGACTCCTGGGATGTATGGCATCATTTGCCCAGGTTTGGAAACCAGGAAGTAACTAAAGAAATGTAGAATAAAAAAGTTTAAAACAAGTAAATATGATACAGTATACTTTCCTATCAACTGTATTTACTAATGCTAGCAGTATAAGGTTTACAAATAATCAATGTTGATTGAGAGAGTAAAGTTTCAGTTTAAGGCAGGGTTAACTGATCCTGTTTACAAACTTTTTTTTCAAAAAAGAAGAAAAGAACATCAATTTACAAATCATGTCACAGTAAATATTGATATAAAGGAGACAAATGAATGTAAATTTAGCAGGATTTGCAGAAAGTAAAAGTCAAGTACACAAAAGCACGTAATGACATGGCATCTTATTTCAAGGATTGGAGTCTCATGCTAATATTATTTATGTATATATATCTATTTTGGGTATATATTTCATTTAACCTGGTGTGTTTATATTTTGATTGGCAGACCAGGCACTTATTTTTGCACAGTGTGTTGCTGTTTTAAGCATGTCACTCTATATTATTTAAAGGATTGGAGTCTCACGTTTTAATTATTGTTTATGTATATTTATTCACCTATATTTGTGTGTATATACACTGATTTGTTGCATTTGCATAGCACTTCACCATTTTTTTATAATGAAAAGATACTCCTATCCACCAGCGGGTTGGCCACCAAGTTAAAGTTTCCCCCCACCAACATATGGGAGGACGTAAATTTATCTATAACACTACAAAAGTTAGAGAAAAAGGTTGCCTGAGCCGAATTTGGAGCATATATGTTTGCTATAGTGAGTTCACGACCCAGGAGGGTGCCCTTGATGATAATAAACCTGGTGCCCTGATCTCTGAAAACATGTTGAACCTCCAATGGAACGGAATTATGGAGGAAAATAGCCACCCCTTTACTCTTAGAGGAGTGCAGCGTATAATAAACTTGCTTGTATGCTTTATGAAAAAATGTGGGATGTTTATCCACTCTAAAGTGAGTTTCATGAAACAGAGGAATCTTAGCCCCTAGTCGTCTATAATAGAGAACTGTTTTTTTACCTTTATTCTGTGAATTGAAGCCCTGAACATTGTGGGAAATACAGCGAATCACCAATTATCACTCATAATGGAGCCTATGAACACATTATCATAAAAATATATAGTGAAAATAAAAAAGTCATCTTGCTCAATGGAAAAGGCAAGTTTCGACAAGGTCAAATATGACCAGTGCACACTTATGCAACAAGACAGCAACCTGATCATTTTGATGAAACCATATATACCGTGCTTCATTACATTAGCAACCAATGAAAAAGAAATGAAACATAGAAAAGTAAAAACAAAGAAGAGGCCAGGAGGCCTCAATTATAACATCAAGTACAGCAAACCTTGGATCAGGTAGCCAAGCAGACAAACCTGAAAACATAGAAAACCATAACATCCAAGGGCCGAAGTGCCCCAAATCTCTGGCATCTAGCAAAAGGATGGGGTAGCATTGCACCAGACTCCATCGACCTAGCCTGCAAGCAAAAGATA